CCCTACATATGTTTCCTTCTTTATACAGCTCAATATCACCATCATTTCTCACCAGTCTCCAAACTGATCTTTCTGTCTTCATTCTTGCCTCACCATAAGTTTTTTCTCTATAACAAGCAGAATGATCTTCTTAAAAGAGTTACCTGATAATGGTGTTGCTAGGTTTAAAACACTCAAGGGTTTCCCTCCTAGCCATTAGGACAGTACACTGAACGACACTTTCCTTTCATCCTGGCCTCTTAAACTTCCTCATCATCACTGGCCACCTCTGTCTTCATTGACCACTCGCTGTGTGCACAACATTCTCTGTTGTTTCTGTGACTTTACACATTTGTTCCTTCTACCTGGGACATTCCTGATTATTCTTCAGGTCTTAAATTATATGTCATATCTTCTAAGAAAAACTTTCCCAAATTCCTTCAAGGCAAGATTGTCTCTCCAATATTCTACTGCATTCTTTCCAAATTCTTAGTTTTGCTTTTTTGTGCAGTTTCATAATATCTCTATTTAATTGTTGGTATTCTCTCACAGAGAGTAAGCAAAAATGGACATAATGTAACATCCATAAAATGATTTTCATCATAATATCCCCAAACATTCCACAATCCATAGCACAGAATTATAAAATACTTGAGCAGTGAAAATAAAAACGGTGAGTAACTGCATGAAGAATAGAGATTGTTATCCGAGTATTATTCTGTAGACTATTGGATCGAGAGCAGATATAGAGTCCTTAAACTTAGAATGAGGAAAGATCATTCCTTCACAAAAAGAATACATACATATATATATATAAATATATATGTATATATTTATGTATATATTTTCATGTGGATGGGGAAATGGAGAAAGAAAAAGGGGGGGATTTTACTAAATGGCTTTGCTCTTAACAATATAACAAATAACAAGTCCATCCTTGGGAAGTAAAGTGAAAGATGGTAGTACCTTAAGGTAATCAGAATGACTTTAAAGTCATTGTTAGTACACCTACAATAAGTAAAAAATATTCCTTAGCAACAGCAAGATTCTTATTTAAAATAGAGTGAATTTATAGTACACCCATTTGCTATTATTATATAATTTTCTTCATCCTTGTTTAGATATAGGAGTGAATAGAAGAAAGCTCTGGGGATTTGCACAGGTACAGTGAATGTTCATAAGGCTAAGAAGTCTTATGGTAATAAGGAAAAAACAATTAGAATGGCTGATTAGAATGTTCAGATTGGATAAAATAGGGAATTCACCAGTGAGGAGAGCAATAGACTGGGAGAAAAAGAGTGGGTAAAAAAACAAAATAGCACAAGAAATGGAAGGCAAAATTGGTGGATTGAAGAAGTAGAAAATGAATAATGAGCAAAGGTTTTAACCAAAAACGAGAATTTCTAAGTTTCTAATTTCTAGAAGGATATTATATCAACTAAACACCTATTTTATTTTGAAATAAGAATAAATGTTTTTTAAAGATTTTATTTATTTCTTTATTTATTTTTAGAGAGAGAGAGAGGAAGGGAGGGAGAAAGAAAGGGAGAGAAACATCAATGTGTGGTTGCCTCTCACTTGCCCCCTACTGGGGACCTGTCCCGCAACCCAGACATGTGCCCTGACTGGGAATCCAAATGGTGACCCTTTGGTTCACAGGCTGGCACTCAACCCACTGAACCACATCAGCCATGGCAGAATACATGTTTTTTCCAGTATTAGATATAACCTAAATGTCTTGAAGACAAGTTACATTAAATTAGCATTATTTTTTATATTCTTTTTTTCTATTTTAATAAATTTGGCTGTTATTTTATATGTATAACTTTATTTTTTGGCTATGTCTGAAGTTATGCCAAGCTGTTATTTTGCCCGCAATATCCCTTATTTCTATAGTATCAGATATGAAGAAATTAAGATTGAAAGCCCTTTCACCAATTTACATGCTGATAATTTGCTTGAATTATTTTTCACTGAAGTCCACATTTGTAAGGTGATAGTTATCCTCATATATTGCAGAGAGGGAAACATGATGCTCCATAATGCCTTCTCTCATGCCTTCTCTCCTATACATGTAAAAAATTGTTTGTGTTGTTTTTGTGTTTCTAACATCACTCTTACTAGATAGAACAAGGGATATATACATTATTTTTCATTGTTTTCTACAGTGTCCTGTGTTTATTTATGTAAAATAAAAGGTGCTTGATCACTTAAAATTTTTTTAAGTCATTCAAGTGTTTATATGAACAACTACACTAATTTGGGAGGTAATATTAAACCAGCTTGCTCCATGACTAAAGCACAAGAATGTATGATATTTTATAATTAAAATTAAAAATTATGTAGCTGAATTACAATGTGATCCCTTAAACTCAGCATGTGATTGAGGGTTCCTTTCACTATAATCTAATGATACTAATATATTTACTAACATTTTACAAAGTTGTTTCACATGCATTAAGGTTAAAATAATTGTTTTAATATAAACTATGTGTGACATAAAAGATAAATAGAACCCATTTTGAAATAAATCCAGTTTGAAAATTAGGCATCTGAGATCTGAGAATTAAGAGTAATATCAGAGGCCACAAAAGTTGCGAGTGACTGAACTGATTTCTTTCATACGCACACATCTTGTTTCTAGGAGCCTAACTTCACCAGTGAGGTAATAATCCTTGGTCCATACATTACAATTCTTACCATGTCACATTAATTATTCCTCTCATCATTCCTTATGAGACAAACACACACACATATTCACAAATGTATTTATGGATGTGAACAAGTACAAATTTACAAAGACAAGTAAGATTTGCAACAATTACTAAGGTTAAACTAATGCATTATATTATGCGTCTTTTAAAAATTCAGGTGCTAAGTGATTTCAACTTTTAAATTACTATTTTCTTACTCTTATTCCAGTGGAACACTAAACTCTAAATGTGAATAAGTAATATTTCATATGTTTTACATTACTTACAGAGTCCATATAATTTGCCTAAGACAGATAGTAGAATATACTAAATACATGGTCCCAGAGCAAATGTTAAAGAAAGGTTACAAGCATGGAAAATATGATTAAGATGATTTTTCACAGGTGTAAAGATTAGGACTCAATACCACGAATAAATCTAGCTTCAGGATTCTGAACTTTTTCCTGGTCTCTTAAGTATGATGCTTACTTGTATGTATATATTTCATTGTTTACACTATACACCATGGGAATAAAGGTAGATTACTCTAAGAATTTAAGTACCTGCAATGTCCTAAGTGCGTTCAATGAGATAAATGCAAGTTCCTATTATATTACATATTAAAGCCATTAAGCTAGTACATATTGTTATACAGTTTGTATGAGCCACAACCATATCAACCCAGGTATTTGCAGAAGTATTTTTTTAAAGTAGGGGTCTAAACTTTGCTGATATACCTTAAGCACAATCTAGACAGTCTCATTTTTTCCTATTTTCTTTCCTCCCCTTCTGGAACAGATATTTACTGAATGTTCACTATGTTTAAACTGTAGGATCATAACATGAAACTAAATATTCCAAGTCCTTGTTCTTATGGAACTTACATTCCATTGGGGTGGAGAGGGAGAAAGCAATGAGCAAATGAAGGTTAGATAGATAGAGAGAGACAAAGGAGACAGAGAGATGTATCCTAGCAGGTTATGAATAATGTTAGGAAAAAAATAATGTATAAAAATAAGTTTTTTAAAAAAGCCTGAAGGATTTCAATGCTTTAAAGAGAGTAGTCAACAAAGACATTTTTGATAATGTAATATTTGAACAAAGACCTGAGTAAAAGCAGGAACTCAAAAGTTAGGACACATGAAGGCAGAGTTACACAGGAAGCTAAACCCTGAGGCAGCACTGACAGTACTTGACTTGTTTGAGAACCAGAAGGCGCAGGCGCGGCTGAGTAGGAGTGAGATGGGGAACGAAGGGTAGGTAGAAGAAAAGGCATTCGAAGTAACAGGAACCGGATCATAAATGGCTTCTGCTCACTATAAGAATTAATAGTTCAGAACCAGAGGCATGGAAACAAGGAACAGAAGGAGAAGGGACTAGTCAAGGAACATGTGTGAATGACACATGGACATGGACTACAGGGTGGGGATTGACTGTGGGAGCAGGAGGGAGTGGGCTGGGTGGAGGAGGGCAAAGAAGGAAAAACTGGGACAACTGTAATAGAACAACAATAAAATATTTAATTAAAAAAAGAATTGATATTTCACTGTGAGTCATTTGGAAAGATATAAGAGGGTTCCGAGAGGGACGTGTCAGAGGTTCACTCTGGCTGTTGTGTGGAGAAGTAGACCAAGGTTGGTAAAATAGGATGAAGGGGGCTATTAGGTGTCTATTACTAGCAACGGTTGTCTGGGAGAGGCTGGTCTTAAAGGATGTGGGAGGTAATGGTGATGAAGAGGGATGTACTGACAGAATTTGGGATGTGAGAGACAGAGAGGACTCAAGGGTGGCTCCATGGTTTCTGGCTTGAGTAGGTAGTAAGTGGTGTTGCTATTTACTAAGATGGGGAATGACAGGAGGGGAGTTTGTTTTTTTTGATAGTTTATGTAGATCTTATCTCTCCCCCCCCAGTTTTTGCTGGAAATTGGAATAGACTATTTGGTAGTTTCATTTAAACTATTTTACGTTTGAAAGGAAGAATAACAGTGGCAATGGCAATAAGTAATATTTGATAGCACTTAAAGTTTGCAAAATATTTTAATACCCAGTAATGCATTAGCACTATGTGGTCACACTGCCGATTTCTGCACCTACTCCTAACTCTCTGAGAAAAAAATTAATCAATGTTTTCATGAGACAAGGAAATTTGCATAAAATTTGTTTAAAATGCATTAAAAAATGGTTCACATATACTGAAGAACGTGAACCAAGAAAAGATTAGTTCTTGAAATATGTCAAACAGGAGTTAAGGAAAGTGAAAGTGGACTGTAATGAATGATATTATTTTCCAGCTGTGAATTAACATATGTCCTATAATTTGTCTCCTAGATCCAAGGTTCATTAGTGCTCACCTCATCCCAGAGAGTGACAACCCGGAAGATGACAAAGTATATTTTTTCTTCCGTGAAAATGCGATAGATGGAGAACACACTGGAAAAGCCACTCATGCTAGAATAGGTCAGATATGCAAGGTGAGGTACAGAAAAAAATTGAAGAGGGTACTGTTTGATCATAGTATTATTTCTTTTTCTTTTCCACCTATGTGCATATACAATGAAAAAATCTGGCTAAAATACTTGACTGATCACTATATATATTTAAATGGTAAAAAATGATTGAATACGTATTATAGTTTATAAGTAACTCTTCATAGTCAAACAAGCAGGTTGAGGTTGTGAGGTATTACTTCAAAATTACATTACATTAAATGATTTTAGTTTGAAATTCTGAAGAAATACATACTAGGAGAATAACTTTTTTATATTCTTAGACCTAGCACATTTTTCTACAATATTTAAGTTTTGAATGAACATTTGCTGTTAGGATAACTAAAGTATTAATATAAGAGAAAATTATTAGAGTTTGTTCTTATAAATTGATTACTATAACATCTCATGTATATATACATTCATACATAATTATGAGGCTCTGAACTTTAAGTAATTCATTTACTGTGTAGCACAAAATCGAATGTAATATTGCTTTATAATGTAAGATATATGGAACAAGAATTGTCAATACTTATAGATTAGTTTTTAGTGTGAAGATCTGATAACAGTACTATTTTTTCCTCTACCTATGTATAATACAATATGTGTGCAGTATAAACAAAGTCAACCATTCTTCATATATTAAAGCAGCTTTCATCTCAAGAGAGTGGCAAAGCCAGAACCAGTAATTGTCTTAGAACTGAATTCTTTCTTTTAAAAAAAATCATGAAATTTGAATAATCTGTTAGAAGGTGGGTTAATCTTTTTGTTACGCCAATCATGATTTAATTATTTATCTCTAGTATATTAAATTACTTGAAAATTAAAAGTTTTAACAATCTGGAAGTATAAAAATACTATGTGAAATGTATGAGAATTCACAAAATATGTATTTAAAAGCACTGCTTCAAAAGTTAAAAACATCTTTATAGTATATAAAATCACATAAAATATAAATCAGTATTATATTTTAAAGGGATTTTCAAAATGTTTCACTAGAATGAGTTTCCTTTATTAAGTTTTATGCAAATATTTTTTCAAAGAGATGTATTTTCAACATGAGTTATAAAGCATGTGTTTATTCTTTCATTCAGTACATACTTAAGTGCCTACTATGTGCCAGTGTATTCAGTACTTGTACTGTGAATCAATTTAGATAAATAAGTAAGATCTCAAGATATATAATGCAGGAGAGAGATATTTAAAGCAAACCAAAACAAATGCCACAGTCAAAATTGTTCATTGAAGAGTGGTAAGAGAGTGGAAAAAGTGACTTTTTAATGCTAAGGCAAATGTATTATAAGTCATTCCTTGAGTAAGGTTTGAGTGAATAGATTTGATCAACGATATGACTTAAAAACATAGGTACTTGTATCTTGTCATTTGAAATTATTCTTCATTTGGAAATATGAGGAATTGTATTTTGTGTCTACATCAAGATAACAAAAATACTGGAGATTGTCTTTTATATGCGCAGTTCCTAAAACCAGCATTCTCTCCTTTCAGAATGACTTCGGGGGGCACAGAAGTCTGGTGAATAAATGGACGACTTTCCTCAAAGCTCGTCTGATTTGCTCAGTGCCAGGTCCAAACGGCATTGACACTCATTTTGATGAATTGCGTAAGTATAGCTGATTATGTTTTACAGAGAATATTTGTTCGGATTTTGCCATAATCATCAAAAATTCAACTTTTCTCAATTTTGTTTTCAAACAGAGGATATATTCCTAATGAATTCTAAAGATCCTAAAAATCCAATTGTTTACGGAGTCTTTACAACTTCCAGGTAAACAGCATTTAACTCTTATTATCATAAAACTTCCTGTCCAAGCATCCATAATTTATAAAAATACATTTTTGAGGAAACAATGTTGGCTTATTCTTTGAGGCATTGTGCATTCTTTGGTAGCAGAAATAAGTTATGACCTAAATAGTTTTTTAAATAAATTTTAGCAAAAATATTATCATTATAAAATGGTGAAAACTGTATGTAATACCCTATGTATAGCTTTGATTTGAAAAATTGGTAGAGAATTATAAAAACGGAAATCTGAGTTTTGATAGGTTTATAGTGATATAAACTAAGACGGAAAAAAATGTTTTCCTTCCCTGCTCCTATCTCTTCTCCACTTCCTCCAAGCCCCTCTTCTCCCCTCCCTCTCCGGCCCCGCCCCTCCTTCTCTCCTCCGTTTCCCTCCTCCCCTTTTTGCCCCTCCCTTTCCTCCATTCTGCATGTCTCCCCAGGCTCTTGCTATAAATCAAGAAGCACTGATCTTCTATTACATTCAGTATACAGTTTACATTACCTGGAAGTGATAAAGGAAACATATATATACATACACAGAAATAGGGATATGTACTTCTATATGGATAAAGTGTTTAAAAAAATAATTTAAAATAAAAAATCAGGTAAACCACGGAAGGAACTGTGATAGCATAAACAGAAAGATTAACTGCAAAGTCCAACACTGATTTATTCTGTAAATATTAAAGCCTTACAAATTAATAGGTTATTTTGAACTAATAGAAACACATATTACTAAAACTATTTACGTACCTAAACATTTTCCCCCTTTAGTATAAAAACAGAATGGCAACTAAAGACTGGGAGAGGTCCAAATCAGACTTTAACCTGTTTCTCTGCTTCCTCAATGCCTGTGACAGTGATTCTCTGACTCAAGCATTCAGTGAATCACCTAGTGAACCCGTTAAAATACCGACTGCTAGGCCCTGTCCCCCCACCTCCGCCAGTTTCTGATTGAGCAGGAATGGGGTAAGACCTAAGAATGAGCATTTGTACCAAATTCCCAGGTGATGCCCATGCTGTTGGCCTAGGGAACACACCTTGAAAATCACTAGGTTAATGGGTAAGGTAATTTTACTGGTCTGCTTCAGTGAGCTGGATGTTTGTATGTGAGTCTTAACTGCTGTAAATCATTATCAAATCTTTCAATGATGATTCATGTCATCAAGAGATGAGTAACATATATAACAATGGAAAAGGGATATATAAACATTAAAAACTATGATGTATCAAATGTGTGTTAATTTGCTATTCTGTTATGAAAATATCGTTCGTAAATTTTGCAGCTGTTTACTGAGATTGACTATGGGTCAGGTGTCGTGCAATGTGTACCTAAAGTTACAGAAAAGAAGCCAAACATAATTTCTTCCCTCATGAAGCTTGCACTCTTCTGAACATTATCTATATGCATCAATTTCCAATAATAAACTCTTATAAACTATAAACACGTGTTTCAATTTGGTCTGATTTATATGTAATTTTCTATGAGAAAGATTGGTTAAGAGAAAAGCATTCCATATTTTAAATGCGCAAAACTATTTTATATCATTGTATAAATACAACCTTTAAACTGTATTTATGTAAGCAAAATAAAAAGAAAAATTGTGTCAGCTCATGACAAAAGTCTAGTTTGCTTCAATTACCTGATTTTTGTCTAGCAAAAAGTATGGAGATAATTGCTATAATACTCCACCATAGCTACTAACTAAAAATGATTTTCTGTATTGGGAAAAGGTGATTTTTTTAAATGCCTTCACAAAAATCAGTTGTTCTAATATTTATGGCTGTTTGGGAGTTAAAAATAATGTAATGTAACACATCACATGACATTGACTATCCATTTCATGCACCAGCTTCAGCTTATAGAATGAGTTCTTAAGCATTCTTGTTTAAAAATTCCCTAGTTTGATTTATGGTGCTTGAGGCTTAACATATCTCCAAAGATTATAGTTTTTTATTTTTCTAATTGATATTAAAATTAAATATTAGTTTTTAGATCATATGTTTTTCCTATCATAGTTTATATATGATATAAATATATATATTATATCAGTAATAAAGATGGATTCATCTATGCCTTCTATTTTTGACAATCATAATTTGTTCTCTTGTGACTTATTAAAATGTATAGAGACAGCAGTAGAGCGATTGCCAGGAGGAGGGGGTGGTGAGGGGAGGTAAAAGAAGGTAAAGGGGGGATAATTGATAATGGAAGGGGCCTTGAGTTGGGGTGGTAAACACATAACAATATACAGATGATGTATTATAAAATTGTGTACCTGAAACCTGTGTAACTTTATTAGCTAAAGTCACCCCAATAAATTCAATAAAAAAGGGGGAAAAAGACCAAAAATGTCTCCAACACTATTTGAGATTGCTAAGAGTTTATGTTCATTTTCATAATTGATATCTGAAATTTAAGAAGTCAGCATCAACCATTCTTCTGCCATTGTATAAAGATGAAAATATCTTTTTGTTTTCTCTCTTTTTTTAGTAACATCTTCAAGGGGTCAGCTGTGTGCATGTATAGCATGAGTGATGTGAGAAGGGTGTTCCTTGGTCCATATGCTCACAGGGATGGTCCCAACTATCAGTGGGTGCCTTATCAAGGAAGAGTCCCCTACCCACGACCAGGAACTGTAAGTGGCCTAGGTGCTTAAAACATAAAATGAATAAATTTCTGCTAGATATTAAAAAAATAGCAGCTATACACAGATATTAAATACAGATAATGTTAAAAATTCCAAGACTATAAATGAAAGCCAGGCAAGGGTTTTCTGTGATACCATGGAATACCAAGTATAAAGCCATGTTCTTTACAAATATTGATGTTTACATCCAGTTACTAATTCCCATAATTTTTGAGAAATAGAAACTGAGTGGGTAGGCTTTTTCTGATTGGCAAATAGTGAAAATGGCCTTTATGGAGAGTTGAAACAATTAATGTACCTCTGGCCGTGTTCTCTCTGATCATAGCAAAGGCTCAAAGGGTACACATTAGATAAGAGAAAAACAGCCTTTTTAATTGATATTGTAGGTAAAGAAGATATATGAAAAAATCACATAGAGTGAGCAGGGCCTATTATTTTACCAGATGCTGTTTACCATCACCAGCCTCTCCTTTTCCCTCCAGCAACCCTGGGCGTACTCAGGCTTAAACGAATAAACAAATAAAATTGGACAAAACTCAAAATCAAACCATATTTGATTCTTTAATTTAAAGTAGGAAGAAAAACAGAAAAGACTTCAGTCCCTGGCCAGGTTGCTCAGTTGGTTGGAGCGTCATCCTGTACACCAAAGCGTTGGGGGATGGATCTCCAGTTGGAGTCTGTGTGGGAGGCAACCGATCAACATTTCTCACATTGATGTCTCTCTCACTCTCTCTCTCTTTCTCTCTCTCCCTCTCCTTCTCTCTCAAATCAATAAACATATTTCAGGTGAGAATAAAAAAATTAATAATTAGAAATATTTTTGTGCCAGACCCTATTGTATGAGATTTATACTTATTGATATATATTATAATCAATAACCCAATCATTGTTCCCATTTCACAAATGAGGACACTAGGGCAAGGATAAAAGCCAGGATTCAATCCAAGCAGTTCGGATATAGAAGCTGTGCTCTCACCAGTATTCATAAAGAGTTATTATAACATGGGAAACTAAGTCAGCAACATGGATGAGTTCATTAATCCTAAAAGATGGCAGTTGAGAATTTATTTCACCAATTACTGGAGAAAAATATATTGTGACCTTCAAACAACGTGTCAGTAGATGGTATTTGTTTTTAAAGAAAACCTACAGCTAAGTAGTACTAGATGCAAAATTAAAAAGCCAGAAAGGCAAGAGAATGACACAAATATAGGATAAAATAAAAATAAATAAATTCCTTACTTTAACTTTTAATCACACATTTCTAAATTTTTGCAAGCTATATTTAACAGCAGAAAAACAAAAGAAAAGTAAATGTCATAAAAATGTTTATTGTTTTTCTAAGAATTTTTATAGCTTTTTGACATTCCTATAACATAAATAATTTTATAATTTACATAAAAAGTAATTCTTTAAACACTTTAACTGTTACATGCATATATATTAAAATATGTATATACATGTATATTCATAAATAGATACATACTCTTCCCATTTCAAAAGAGGTTTATTTATTTTATTTCTCATGAATTATTTATGATCTATATCAAGGTAATTACAGACAATTGATTTCTCCTTCTAAACCTTTTGTAAGAACCTCTCTATATTCCTTTTAGCTCCAAGCTGTTACATTAAGTGGCAGAAACTACGTGAGTGTAAGACAAAAAGGAAGATACTAGAGATTTTGTACTCTGAATGCTTCTACACATAATTAAATGGAATGAAAAGAGACACTGAAATCTGAATTTTCCCATTTCTGTTTTATTGCCTTACGTGGAGCATTTACATCCAGAGATGATATTCTGCCTGTATACTACAGTGCATCCTTTCTGAATCTCTATGGCCGTTGTCTACTCGGACCATTCTGAGTGGCCAGTTTCTGTGCCTTGCCGACTGAACACTTAATAATATCTTTCCTTATCCCTAAAATAACTTTAATCACTTAAGACATAGTACTTTTGGTATGTTTTCTGTACTCTTTCAGGATTATATCAGAAACAAAGCAATAAATACTTTATATTGTATTTATGTTAAAAAGAGTACTTGTATTTTAGCATTGGCCATAGGATAAAAAGCAAATATATCTAAGACAATTATGCTGAGTTTCTCTAATCTAATGATTAACTAAATGCAATTTTAACATATCCCATTATTAAGACAAACACTTCATCTATTACATAAATAAAGTATGTGGTGTTGTCACAATAGAGGCATCAGATCCTGCTATAGAATGAATTCATTACATGCATTTGCCATTTTGGGTAAGTGACATAACTAAATCCCATTGAGACTTAAGGTATGTTCAGGAAATATATAGTATATATTACACATACTAATTTAATTAACATTATCTTTGTTTGACCAGTTAACTTAAAAAATATAACCACAGGTTTAGATTCACAGACCATTTAGGCCATATATTATTAGATAAGTTATATTCTTGTTCATTACATTTTAATCAAAAGATATTCTCTTTACCTTATTAGTGTCCCAGCAAAACTTTTGGTGGATTTGACTCTACCAAAGACCTTCCTGATGATGTTATAACATTTGCAAGAAGTCATCCAGCCATGTACAACCCAGTGTTTCCTATCAATAACCGCCCGATAATGATCAAAACAGATGTAAATTATCAGTTTACACAAATTGTAGTGGATCGAGTGGATGCAGAAGATGGCCAGTATGATGTCATGTTTATTGGAACAGGTAACTATTTAACCTTGGCTCTCCATTTTCTTCAGGACCATTCAGCTTAACTGATTAAGTATACTAAGAATTAAAGGAAGTTTTTATAGTCAGTTTCAAGGTATAGTTAAACTCTAATAAGTTACTAAAAACAAACATTCTCCCATGATAATGTGTTATCCTTCTGAACAAGGTGACATATATGAAATTCAATTTTTTGTTTCAATTGAAAGTTGAGAAATATAATCAAGTAAAACTAATGATTAGGTGAATAATCAATGTCTATAATTGAATCACACTTCTGGATAGTGGCTTTTTACATGAAAGATATATTGTTCAAATCAAACCTAAAATTGCCAAGACATTCAATAACAGTTTCTGAATGAATTGATGCAAAATTGTCCATACTTTAAAATTACCACAGGGTGAAAATTTTCTAGTAAATAAATTTTGGCAACAAAATTTGTTCAGTGTTTTTGCCATACAATGAGGAAAAAAAACACTTTATCAGAAAAACAACAAAATGGATCTAAGTGATCATCAGATGCATTTTAGATCCATTTCTATGGAAATTTATTGACATATTTTTACTAATTCAACTATTAGAAGCACACTTTTTGTAGGTATATTTTCAGAAAGAATTCCATGGCTATTTTGACAAATTATTTTATTTTTACACTACTCTCTTTAATAATACCATTTCGAAAGTACCAGTTACAAATTTAAAACTTGCTACTTAGGGTCAGGTTCCAAGGTAATAAATTCCTAGTCTCCATTAGCATTGTTAACTGACATAAATCAATGGGAAACTGAGTGAGTGCTCCACTGAAACCTTGTATAATAACATTTATTTTCCCTTGGTGAGAAACAGAGGGAAAAAAAATTGCATTAACTACAGGGGAATGGCAATCTTGCAGTAAGTGCTTTAAAGACAAAGTTTTATAACGAAATTGTGAAATACTTACATTATCAGGTGTAACAGTGTCAGGTTCTGAGCAAGTCATTACAGTTCACTTTTATGAGTTAGAAAGTTTCTCTATCAAATAAAAGAATCCCAGTGAGACTCAGTCTTTGATAAAAGTCAATGAATTGCAAATATCAACTTCCAATTAGAAATATCTTTAGAAATCATAAGGTGATAGGATTTCTTTTCTATGAAGTTTAGTTTATCATTTAATGTCAACTTATAATTAGATCTCTCTACAGAATAATTAATTTTATTCACTAATGTCACACTTGCCTATTTACCTCTGGCCTAAACATGCTAAGAAGTTCCTCACTCATTGTCAGCGCAACAAAAGCTTGCTTTTAGCTATTTGACCAAGGAAACCCAATCATGAGTTTTTAATTCCACTTGGACACAAGCTGTCCTTAAAGGAACCAGTTTCTTGAGGATGTTGAATGTCTGATGATGTGGATGGCTATCGGTCAGCACAGACCAGGGTCATCTGTCAGCAAAGTAAATTGATTACAGTAATTTTATCTTTTTTACTAAGTAGCGCATCATAACGTATTGATCCTAGTTGAGTAATCTGATTCAGTTTGTGTGAAATTGTTTGAAATACTACTCAGTAAAACTTGATCTGGAACACAGATAAAGTTCTGTTTGGATACTGGAGACCTATCAGAGGCACTGAGTAGTTTAACCTAATTTGCTTTTAATCTTTGGTATTATGAGGAGTCTAAGGTCCTGTAAATAGAGAAGTGTCCTCTTAAAAGATTATTTTTTTTAACGTTACAAGGAATACACTAACAACTTTTTTTGATCTCACATTGATACTCTGAAAATGGTTATCAATGATATAAATACATTGAATTATTTTTCTGATATGTTATTTATTTACTGGCAAGATTTTCTTCTCAAATAATGAGTCTGTTAAACTCGATTAAAATCAGTCAGTTGAAGCTAAATATAATTGATCAACTGATTAGTGTAGAAATGTCAAAGAGTCAAAGTTTTTGTTTTAATAAGGCCCTATTTTTCTTGTTATCAATGTGCCAGTAAATACTGGAAAACTAATAGTGCTTAACCCAAGTAATAATAAAAGTAACAGCTCTTGATATTAAATCACTTTGTCTCTTTTATTCCTTATTTTTTCTTTATAATTTTGTCCCTTTTAACAATGAAACAAAATAAACAATGCTAGAAATTTATAATGTATTCAATTTAATAGTTTTTATAATGTATGCTTCTGAATTTTAAATTTTTAGTATTCTAAAATTGATTAACCAATATGTTAACCAAAATTGATTAACCAATTCTTGAAAAAGCACTGTAATAAGTAATCCAAGGTGTTTATTTTGAGAAATCAACTTATTATCATTCATCACTTAATGCTCATTGAGCTGGCTTTCAGGGCCTTTAAGTACTAAAGGCTTTCAGGGGACAAGAGGCTAAGCAGTCAGGCTCTGCAGCTCTAACTATGGTTCTCTTTTCTGTTGCTTGACAACATTCTTTGCTTTTTGCATCTATGTTAAATCTTCATAGTAGTCCCTGATTTCACAACAAAAGTGGAAAAGCCTGTCATGTCAAAACTGGTATTATTTTAGGGCTTTTTTCTGATATACTTGACAACTGAGATTAAAAATAGTTAACAGTCCAACCTAGTGAATATTACATATTTTTAACAATGCAGCTTCAGTGTTATATTATCTTCAAAGCTTCTTATATTCTAAAATTTCAATTCTTTTAACTTCATGCTGTTTCTAGTTTATCTAGTTGCATGAAACCCATTATGAATATATATTTTACTAATGCTGTAGCAAAAAAATAAAAGGAAGAATGAGGTCAAAACGTTCTTTTTGGTCAAATACTGACTCCATTCATTAACACTGAACTCTGTACAGATCTATTTAAACTGTGCTCTTCTCTCCCCTTTCTTTCAAAGACATTGGAACTGTTCTCAAAGTAGTTTCAATTCCTAAAGAGACTTGGCATGATTTAGAAGAAGTTCTGCTGGAAGAAATGACAGTTTTTCGGGTGAGTGCTGCTTAACTTCAAGTGTCAACAAGTTCAGTTGCATGTCTTTCCCCCAGGACAGCTGCACACTAAAGTTGGTGTGGGCAAGTAGTCTAGCATACCCTTCTAATTAGCTTGTCAATGAGAAAGCCAGACACTAGTCAAAATAAACCTTGAAGTTCTCAATGCTAGTTAAATCTAAAAATGTAAAGAAATGTATTCTTGGCTCATATTTTATTTTCTCAGTGATAATATATATGATTTACATTTTATATTATTTATGTAAGTTACCTCAGTGAACAAACTTCATGAACCTTCCACCTCCAAAATCTTCTCTTTCACACTTTACAGTATAACTGGGATGATAGGTAACTTTCATGAATATAGTAAAGGAGGTACATTGAGAATGAAAGGGGAATGAATGCATTCAGCTGTTCTGTAGCTTATCCAGAGTTGTTTTATTTTCATTAAAAATTATTTCAGAAGAAAAAGTTTGAGATTTTGAATCACTGGTAGCAATTTTTTTTGTGGATTCCTAGTCTACATCATTAAGAAATGTACAGCTATTTTTCCCTTTGTCCTGAATCACAGAAGGCCCAGGTAAATTTATACAGGATTAGGGGTAGAAGCTGGAGGATATGGGTTGACATGTGAGAGTTCAGCTGAAATAATATAACATAAACCACAATGTCTATTCCTTCTGGAAAGCTAGCTAATAGGACAAGTTTGAAGCACATCTCGGTAGAAACTATTTATGATATGACAGGGACATAGATGCCCATGGAATGTGTTATTTCAATTTGCTGATAAAATACAAGAGCAATCATATAAGACTGCAAAGTAAACTGGGATTAGAAGACTTGTGAACAGAATGAGAAAACATTCGATGTAGTCTTACAACTCAAAATTATCTCATTTAGTCTGCAGGTGTCTCAGTTACTTTACTTATAAAATGAAACATCTGTATAGAAATTTTCAGTTGATTAACTATTTTAATTGTAACAAAGTTTTCCCAAGACTTTTGTTAGCCTCATATTTCTAAACCAGTTTATTAACCAAACTGGGCTCTTGTTCACTATTCGGTACTATTTTGAAGAAAAGATGAAGTACAATATGTAAGCTCCTGGTATATATTCATTCAATTAACATTAGGATTAACAATGAAACAGTAACTGATAAATCATGACAAAGCAATCTTGTAATAAGCATTCAGCAATGTTCTAGTGAAAATAATTCAGGCTCTTCAGTCCTATCTACATGGCCCCTCTGTTAGGAATACTTATGGGATCCCTTTGAGATTTCCCATCAGTAAAACAATGATAGTAATACCTAATTCACAAGGAGGCTAAAAGAATGGAATATACTATATGTAAAGTAGCCAGGGTGCTCTAGGTACAGTGCTCAAAGCTTTATTGCTAATGTAATGTTATTGTTTCAATTCGGCTACACAGAATTAAGGCATACATCCAGTAGCATTTTCTACTAATTGTAGATATGCTTTCAAAATAATAAAATTGTCATAATTATATTATGATTTTTTAAATCAGGCAATTAGACTTTATTAAATTTATGTCTGGTATAAAGTGATGACTAATCACTATTGTTCACTAATTCTCATTTTAGTATTTACACACTGACATTTTGACCTACATATTAAAAAATACAATTACCCAAATGGACTATGTTAGCAATATTGAATCCATCTAGACTTAGCAAGCAATTATGGGCACTGAAGGGTAAATAAATAAATTGCTGTCTTGTGTCCATTGTTGTGTCTTTCAGCACGTAAAATATGTTTTCAACCAACATTTATTAAATAAGTGAAGGAGTCAGTATTGATGAAAAAATGAAATATGAGAAAGTAAAGATAGTCTTCCTCAGGAAGACCATGTTAAAGCAAGGTGCAAAGATATGAGGAAGAGAAACTGGGAACAGCAGCAGGTTACAGTGGTGATTATATCCCATACTACTCTCTAGTAGAAAAAAAATACCAATTCAATATATTGAAAATTACTGTTGCCACCAATTGTACATATGAAGTTACAGGAGATACTGAAATATTATGCTAACTGAAGAATTTCTTAATTATTTTTAGAATTTTTATGTACAGATTTGTCATGGTTCATTTCATATTTCTATTCAGTTGTTATATATTATATTTTAAAGATTTATTTATTAATTCAGTGTAAACAAATATATTATACTTACCATGATTCTGGCATAATGCTAAGTTCTGATGGTTCAGAGTTGAATGCAATAAACATAGTACTGGACATTATATAGCTTACATAGTCATATGTGTTTTCTCTCATAGTTCTAAGGACTTAATTTATTTTCTCTTACTACAATTAAATTCTATCTTGTTATGCCATTTTAAAATTAAGATTTTTTATTATTTATGTTCTTGGATTTTATGAATCAGGACATGCATAATTTTGCAGTAATACTATATTCTAGCTAATTTTCATTCCCTGTACCTCTGGAATTTTAAGTTTACATTTTTCATCTTAGCTACATTCTTTAGTACATTAATAAAAATTTTAGTTTAATAAAATATTAATTTATGCTGATCTTAAATTGCTTCTAACAACATCTTGAGAGGTTGCAAGCACAAATATTTAATACCTATTAGATTTTGTTTAGTATGTTGCAGTTTCTAGCGAAATATAACAGAATTACACCTATGATTAATAGTAAATGGCATTTGTGTAATTTTTAAAATATCACTAGAAAGTTCCTTTATCAGTCTCTAACAATTAAATATAAGTAATTAATACTGTACTGGCATAAAAATATTGTTTATGAGTTTATGATTTTATAAAAAAGATTGATTGCAACTTAGAACACATCTCTTTCCATAGATAAAAGTTCCAGTTTGCTCCTATATGCTCTGCTATGCTTTATTGTCATTAATATTTCTTTGGTCCTCAAGTAGACAAAACATATTTGGGCAGAGTTTAGAGAAATATTTACTTTCAACATTCTGTTCTATCAGGCAAAGTTCATACATATATTGTGGTCTAGCAATTGGAATATTTCACTGTCAAACTTTGTTTAATCTTGCAATGAGAGTAAAAAACACAACACATTAAAGCAGTTGCTTTATACAGTGAAAAAAACAGAGAAATGTTAGTCTTCATATTTCTATTTGAGCCTTGCAAATTATTCCATTTAACATAAAATTTCAGAAGTGTTAACTTAGTTTTACAGTAGTGTGACAAAGTAAAAAGACAAGGAAGAAATTTAGGATCAATAGAAGTATCTTATACATTTTGGATTTTAAAAAGAAAGGCATTTAATGCCAACCAACCAGTTAATTTTATCATATTATCTCCAGGAGACCATGTTCATTATGTGCCCTTGCTGGACTGATTAACTAAATCTTCTGTAAAACCCTGAATTAGAGCCAGTACTTTGTCCATTACCATCTTGAGGTTGGTTTTAGGTAAACACCCTGGCTATTCACAGAACATTCCAGTAGTTTCAGTTATATCCAAGATACATTTATTTGAGTGTAATCAAATCCCAATCAGAATATAGAAAAAAAAATCCTCTGTAATAAAAATTTCCACTTTAGAGTCAAATTTTAATAGGTAATAAGTGAAATAAAATCACCGTTGTTATAGAAGTCTAGAAATTACCTTGATATTCATTATATCCTCAAAATGCTATTAAAATACTAAGACAAACTTAATTCAAATATTATTGTAATCATAAATTGATATTTAAATCATATTTACTATGTGGTCCTGGACACGTTGGTTAGAGTTAGTTGAGCCTCAACTTCTTCAGTTCATTACTTTTTAATGTTTTTTAATTAAAATTACTAGTAAATGGTAGCTATTGTTAACTAGTTACTTCAAATAAAAGTCTCTTTTAAAATGTTTGAAAATTCTACATATATATCTTGTTAAAAATATTGAAAAGGTATAAAGGCCAGACATGTGTTGATTTTTACTTTCCCCTGTGTGGGATTTCCTCTCCAGTTTGAAGAACATTTTACTTTTGAGACAGTGGAGTATTATGTCAAGTTGCAGTACATTTAGCACAATGGGTTTTATTTATAGTCCTATTGACTGCAAGGCGGTTATATCAATAACACATGCATTTTAAACCAAATTTATGCAATATTCCATGAACAGCAGAGCAAATAAATGAAAGAGTTAAATTTTCATTCAAATATAAAATGAAATTGATGCTTTTCCGAACCTAGACTATTAATTCCGTCTGAAGCACTGCCCCTGTGCCGAGCACCCAGGGAGCTATGTCAGGTTGCCTTGGGGTCAGCAGGCTGAAAAGCTATGCAAGTGCAAAAGTTTAAAAAGGATTAGATTAAAATATTGAAAAAAGTATAGTAAATTAGAATCATAGACAATCTTGAAAATATCCTAATTACTTGAATACCAATTGTATTTGCAATGAATCTGTTTGAATGAAAAATGCTTATAAAGCTATATTTGCTTTAAATGGAAATTATATCTACCACAAGTTATTTCTCAGAAAAATGCATAGCTTCTTTAAATGGATGTCATCTTAATATACTATCTATTAATTCAACCACAGGCAGTATATAGTATACTTTTTATTCCAAACTGTAATTAATTTTCTAGTTTAAAAACTAAGTAAGGTTCTTTTAATTAAGGGATTCTAAGATCTTAATTTAAGAATGTTGAAATCATAATGTGACATAATGTGAGTTTGGTGTGGATTGGAGTTAGTTTTGTTACAATGGATGAAGTAATGAATTCATTTTCATCTACCTTGTAGATGTTTAATTAAATGAATGTGAAATGTATGAATATTAATAAGTTTCACTTTCATATAGTTTCACTTAAGTTTTTAAAAGAACTTAGATACTTCTAACTCTCACTTCAGTTATATCAAGCTGTTAATAATTCTCTAAGAAGCACTTTTCTTGCACCTTGACTATAAAATACATTTTATGAAAGTCTGCTTGAAGGTAGCTACTTACATAATCACATAATCATTTCTCATGTAAAACTTTTGGAATGGAAGAAGTTGCTGTGGAAAATTTTCCTAACTCTTCTCAATTCTCTGTTTGGGTTCATTGATTCCAATATTATAGAAAACTAAATAAAATAGTGATCTTTGTCTTTGAAGGTAAAAATCATTAAAGAATTGTCCCCTGATTTTTGTAATTTGATGCTACTAAATTCTAAATATTATATCTCTGCATAGAGAAAATCGGTAGACATTCCTCTTATCATAGTTGTCTTTATGATTTATAATCCCTGTAGAAAATTTTTAAATATTATTCATTTAACCTTTGAAAATGGGTAACTATGGAATATCTTTATATTATCCCAATTAAATTAAATTGCATGCTACATTATTTTCTCATTTGTCTCAAGCAGATTATCTTAAATTTCTTAAGAAAATCTTGTGGTCAGCTCATGATTTGAAGTGGAAATTGGCAATTCTGTAGCCCACAGTGGGGTAATTTAAACCGCAAGAGCTATGAGCTCTCCAGAAAAAGAATGAAGCATCCAAAGGAGAGCAGATAAGATTCTGCAAGGGAAAGCTAACACGTGAGGAAGAGCTAGAGGCTAAGGAGACTCTAAATAATGCTAAGGATAAAGAGTCAATGAGGAGTTCCAAGGAATAAGGAAATTTAATACAAGAAGCAGTCAAAAAGTAAGTGGTCAATAGTGCCGTACAAAAAAGAAGTCCAAAAATAATAATATAGACTTACAATTGTCCATTCAGCAATACAGTCCTTTGGTGATTTCTGCCTCTGATAATGGTAGGCAACCTGTCTGCAGTAAGGGCCAGACTCGGGGGCTGAGGGATGAGTGGCACTAAATGGGATATGAACAAGTACAAACAGTGAGTATAGAATGTTGACATTATTTTCAAAGAAATTCCAGCTAATCTTGAAGAATTAAGAACTTTTAAAATATAACTGCCTTTTCTCATATACAAATTCAGGGGAGGGAACATACGACCCTGGGCAAAGTAGAAGAAATAGGAGAGAAAGGGGAAAAATGGTAGGGTAAATTCATTGATTTACTGTTTCACTCATTCATTCAACAAATGTTGATGGAGAACTTCTAAATGCCAGAAACAACCCCAGGTGCTAGGGATATGGCAGTGAAAAAAACAAAAATTCCTGTCTTAAATTTGCCCCCTCCTCACATCCTATTAGCCTACCTCTAATCCCCACTGTGTGTCTTTCACTTTCTGACCACAGGCAAAAGGGCAAATGAGTCACAACTGGGACTATGGGAGCTTCAACATCCCAGTGGGCATCCACTGAGTAATGGAGTGAATGAATACTTTTCCTGGTACAAACCTCAGTGGACAGTTTTGGCAGTTATTGCCACTATTCTCAGATTTTTCTCTCAGTGGTGACTTATGACACATACTTTCATTGACTTTTCCTCCTTCCTCTCAAATCTTAGTTCCTTATTTATGCTTAGTGTCTTATTTATGCTTATTTTCTTATTTATGCTTAGAGTTTACTTCAGACTCTGCTCTGGGATATTGATTGGGGAGCTCATAAGACACAAGATAAATTATATATAAATTATATATATATATATATATATATATATATGCATTTGTGTGTGTATGTGTATGTATTTCCAGATAGTGATAAACACTAAAGAGGGAAATGAAAGCAAGAAAACAAGCTTGAGAGAGAGAAAACAAGCACATTTGTAAAAGTGCTTTACATTTATTAACTCAATCTCCTTGACCTTCCTATGAGGATGATACCATCACACTTATTATTCAGATGAGATATCTGAATCACACAGAGGTTATGTAGCTCACCTAATATCACACCTCTGGTTGGGTTTGAGTTACCATTTGAATCCATACAGTTTGGCACAAGAGTCCAGCTCTTCACACTTCGTTTAGGGCTCAGATTCAGACACCTACGAAGTAAGGCCTTATTTTTAAGATTTTTTAAAGATTATTTTTCTTACCTAAGGCTCATTCTCATTAGCCACCTCTGAAACTCCTAAGCAATCCCCTTTTTAGTGTTGTTTGTCATTGATGAAAGATATGGAGTATAGTTCAATGACAGTAAAACTAAAAGGAATAAGATAATGAGTTCAAGTGAATAGCATTTTGGTGGTCTAAGTTCATCAAAGAACAGTATTTATTAATGCTAATTATATGTGTTCATGAGAGGCTTCGGAAGAACACATAACAGTGTTTTTGTCCCATCTGAGCCCACACTGTCCTCAGAAGCTAGAATCTAGCCTAATGCTACCAGCTCATCATTGGTGTTATTAGGAGTTGGCCTACCCCTCAGCTAGGCCATGGTGTTCGCCAGATGAACATACACATTTTCACAGGTTGCCAGCATCAGAGAGGGCTGCTCTGCGACCATGATGAATCAAGAGAAATGCAAGGCCATTCTGCAGTTATGTCAGAACACAGGCAAGAATATAAACATTGTCCAAACCCTAAAAAATGACCAAATCCCCCTATCCTACCTATATGAGGGATGGCTACTTTTTTCCATGCTTTAATTATAGAATTACCTCTGCTTTTTGATAGCTTCTGATGCAGAGCAAAGCCTCACTTTCTTGAACCCTCTATCAGATCACCTAACACAAGCCCAAAAGATGTAAGTCTTTTCCAACACTCACAGAGCATTACCATGGTCTCCCTTATTGCAACGAATAATAAATCCAACCTGGTCAGCTACAGGTGTGTTCCTAATGGTCTTTGCCTGGAGGGCATTAACATACTCTTATTGTCTGTTCAAAACATTTAATACTATCTATGTAATTTCTTTCATGCATCTTATTTCCAAATTATATTGCTTCTTACCAGCACTGATGTTTCCTCTCTGACAACTTATGTTTCTGTTCTATGTTAATTAATTAATGACCTTGTAATTGACCAAAGGTTTACATTTTCTTTTTATTCTATAGGAACCAACTACTATTTCAGCAATGGAGCTTTCCACTAAGCAGGTACTTTCATTACACATTAAAATCAGTATTCTGCATTTTCTTAATTTTGTGTCTCTATTAAGTAAATATATTTATGACCCATCAAATTTTACAGATTTATTAACAGTTGTTCAAACAAAGAGAAAAGAATGGTTTTACAGCAAGCTAGTAAAATGAAAATTAAAGATGTTTTCATTGCCTTCATGTTTTGAGCAATCACATATTTTCTATAAAAATATTTCTTAGATTATTTGTTGTAAATTTTCATTTATAACATTTTTGTTATTGTAATACAATTTACTCAATAATTATTTTCATCTCTCTGTCTTTTAATATGAACAGTGGTAGATATTTCAGAATATAAGTTTATAATTTAATTTGAATATATAATCAAAATACATTTTAGAGGCTAATAAAATTATGCACTGGATTATATGTGTTTGGAGAACTTGACTTTAAAGGTAATTTTACTCTTTCAGTAGTATTATGTACTAGAGAAAACATTTAGTTTGGCTAAATATGAAGGGAAAACAGAAAAACAGTAATACCAAATGATGTCATTAAACTCCATGAATTCATAGGTTACGGACAGCATGTTAATAGTCTTTCTATTCACATTGAATTAATCCTTTGGCATGACACTTGAAAACAAATGACTTCTAAATGCTGTGACATGTACAAAACAAATATAATTTTAACTTCTAACAAATCTATCTTTTCCCCATAAATATTATCTGACCATTCTATCCAATATAGGTGGTAACTATATTTTTAAAAAAAGACTTGCTATTGAGTTGAATTAATAATTAATTATTAAATAACCCTGTAGGTGAAAAAAAAGAAGGAAGTAGGGAGCCCTGTACTCACTGCAGTGAGAACTTGCAAATATAAAATTGTTTAATATGAGGATCATTAGGCTAATCTTATCTCTGACATGCATTACCCCTTGTAAAGACATTAAAAATACTATGCCAGTAAAACTCAATGTATATCCTTTCCACACATACATGTTAAAATAGATGGATAATCTCCAAGATATTTACAGAAACTCAGAGTACAGATATTATAGACCTGATACTGCTATCCTACACTTCATAAGTATGTGTTCACCTGTTTTTATAATCTAAAAATTATGAAATGTTGGCAAGAAAATCTGAGGATTTCCCGGATGGAAGTGAGTCTGGGATACTCTCTCCTGTAATGATTTGTTATTTATTCTCTGCTGGGTTTCATTAGTAGTTTTAATTACATTATATCTAGTACTGTAAAACATTTCCTTCTGTTTAAAAAATGTTACAACTATCTTAGGAATTGACTATTAAATATAATACATTTCACACAAAACACAGTACATCCATTTAAAATACCAAATAGAAGACAGTGTCTCTACTCTTTATTTTCAAATGGAAGTTTCGTTTCATGAAGATGTGACTCAATTTCTTCAATGATCATGGAAATTTTAAAAGTGAGTCAATAGTTTCAAGAAGGACAAGCAGTGTTGCAACTAATTTTCTGGATAAATAGATTCATCTCCTGCTTTATGACCTGCAATTTGTTAAGGAGGATAGTGAGAAAGCCTATGGTGATGTTAAATTGGGCAGAAAAAACACATCAGGTCACTTGCTAGCAACTGGATTATGCTCAATGATGCCTATAAAACCACCCCTTTATTTCCTTTGGATAGCATACTCGATTTTGTAAATTATTAACAGTACTGCAGAATAATTGTAAGATATAAGCTAGCCATTGGGTTATATTTAATTTTTGACATTTTATCAACTTTAGGTTTTCATTACAATAATTTCAATTGCCATATTTGGGGTTGTCTGTTCTTCCTGTGTATTATTTCTGTGTTTTTCCATTAAAGGGGTGTGACAGGTTTAAGTATTAGATAATAGCAACTCTTTTTCTACTCAAATGTCATATTCTTAAAAATCTGTTAAGTATGAATTTTGCTCATGCTTCTTAAAAGCTACTGGACAAACATAGAGTTTTTTTTATTAGGTATGACTAACTTCATTAATAGCTTTTTAAAGAGTAATGACCACAATATATGGTTTGGCATGTCCATATTCACCAATGCCAGCTATACTTCTGGATATTGCTACCTCATTTTAACTAATTAACACTGATATTGCTTTCCATACCCTCGCAGTTTTTTAATGATGCTTTTTGAAAGAGAAAAATAAAGGAAGGGGGGAGTTCATTCCATTAATTAATTTTCCTGTTAATATTTTTTGAATCGTGGTCAGCTGTTAATGCATACTAGAGATGCTTTAAGAAAGATACAATTTAATTTAATCGTGTCTCAACAAAAACCTGAGAGACAATACTTCATCTTTTCCTCCCAGGGACTTTATCATTTCTTAATTTGCAGTGGCTTGTATCATCTTTCAATATATAGTCATAAAATATTAATATTGTAAAAATTTGATCAGCTGTAATGTATACTCTATACTATACCAGAATACTATATACTATAAATAATTTTCATTTACTAAAATGAAATGAACAACATTTATCAGGATAACTGCTTCTATAGTGGTTTACTTTTTATTGCATTACTTCTTTCCCCTTAGTTCCCTTTCTTTTATTAAGATAAAAGTTAGTTGGTTAGCTTGAAATAGAATAAATTATTATAAAATAGAAAAAATAGAATAAATAGAATAAAAATAATTCTATTATTTTATAGAATTATTCTCTATATAAGTAGTCTATATAACCTTAATAATTTATTTAATTCTAATAGACACTTCAGTTTTTATTCAACTTATTTGTTTATTCCTATGTATAGTCTATCTTTGAAAGTCCTTTGGAAATACAATCTTATTTATATCCATCACTGACTCTCAGGCAATTTGTAATATTTAAAAGAGCACACATGGCTCAGAGACCATCTTTTCTGTAACTTATTTTTATTTACATTGTTGAGAAATTAAAATACACTTTCAAGATCTTTTCCATGCAAACTGTTACATGTTTCAGCATTTATACATCTTTTTAAAAATATATTGATTGATTGATTGAGAAGAAAGGAAGGAGTAAAAGAAGAAGAGAAACATAGATTGTTTGCCTCTCACACACCCCCAGCTGGGGACCTGGCCCGCAACCCGTGCATGTGTCTTGACTGGGAATCAAACTGGCAACCTTTCACTTTGGGGAAGCAACGCCCAACCAGCTGAGCCACACTAGTCAGGGCAGTATTTACACAGATTTTGTTCAATCCCTTAGTGCAAGAAAGGGGTGCTATGACACCAATTACAGTAAATTTGAGAAAACACAAAATAATTTTATTTTATATTTCATGTTGTGTTTGGATAAGTTTGCAGCTGATATGCTAGGTTGGCTCAACGTTGTTGAAGGCATTTTTTATATTGTACTGAAATCTGGAATTAGTTGCTACTAGAAAGTTTATCGCCCTATGTTCTGCCTTACTGGGTAACCCTAAACTCATTGAGGACAATGGCATTGTAGAACATTTTGTCCAGATGCATACTTTAAAAATTTAGTTAAACATGCCCATTTTATGGATAAGTCTTAGAAATATTACGTGACTGTCCCAAGATCACACATGGAGTTCATGCAGGGCAAGACTTAGAATGTAGGTGTTTTGATGCCTATTACAGCAGTTTCACAATATCTGAGCTTTTGGTTTAAGTCTACTGCACCAGCCAGCGAGCACTTGATCTCCCTCTTTGATGACCTTTCAAATGAGAAGTAGTTTAGTGGTTTTATTTAAAATAATGTTCCTGGCGGTAGTGCAAGAACAACACAGTTGGTGTTCGGCAAAAGGTCCCACAAACGCAAGGCCTGAAACTACACTGTAGGCAGTTATAATAAGGAAGCCAAGAGTCAGAAGCAAATGACCCCTTCCAGAGGAACTCATGGCAATGTACGTAATCTGATTAATCAAAATTATGAACAGTAGAAGTCAAACAAACAAGTATTAAGAACAAAAACCAGAAAGTTTGAAAATTACATTGCTCAGTGTCTTACTGCCTTTAATTTTTTTAAGTATAATTGACATATACAGTAATTATTACTATCTTCTTTATCTTCCTTTGGTTTTATACTTATAAACTACACCTGTTTCGGTCAAATATTTAAATTCTGATCTTGCTCTATTTTAAATGGTCACATTATCTGCCAGGCCTTTGAAGAAACTACCAATAATGAGATTTTTTAAATGGACAAACATAAATTTATCCTTTATAAGATATGTATAAACTTTATTAAGAAAGGGATTTGAAAAACAAGATAGTTTTTGTCGTAACAGTAAACCCTTTCCACAGCAACAGCTCTACATCGGCTCTGTAGTGGGCGTGGCCCAGCTCCCCCTGCACCGCTGCGACGTTTACGGGAAGGCCTGCGCCGAGTGCTGCCTCGCCCGAGACCCCTACTGTGCCTGGGATGGCTCTTCCTGCTCGCGCTACTTTCCTACGGCAAAGAGGTAGGAAAGACATTAGAAATAAGCACAAATGTTTGCTACTTATTGTACCTGATTCTATTTTTGAAACAGCTTTTAATATTCTGCTGTTATTAATATTCTTAATATGCCTTTAACATTCAGAATTGAGATATGTTTGTATCATTTACATATATCTATTGATTTCATTGGAAGTGTGAATTTAAAACAGAAAGTCAGGTGGGGATAATATGTTACTGATTAAAAAGACTATGGTTAATTTAATAGGCAAAAATGTGCAGCTTTATAGCAATCAAATTAAATATTTGATTAAAATTGTATGGTTCTTTAAATCAGTTCTGTGAGACTTTTAATGTTATTCAAATAGTGAGAATTCATGTTTGGATTAAAATTGAATATTATTTCCTTCCCATGTGTGAATGTATAACATTGCCTAATTTAATAATAATCCATTCTAATTCTAAGCTGATTTTAATAAGAAGGATTAAAACCATAACTAAAGCTATCATATGTTAAAAAGCTGTGTATTATATAGTTGAAATGTGTTTATTGCATATACCTACAATCCACAATTGAAGAAACTATTATTAAAAATTTTGTTGTGCTTTGCAGATTTTACTTAATCCAGTTTCATGTGTCTTTGAAAAGGATGTTTAGAAACCTCATATTTATATATCCTTTTAATGACATTTTTCAAAGCTTAAAATGCAGTAAAGAAATGCCTTCCCAAGTGTTTGTGGTTCGTGTTTCACACGTTCTCTTGTTGGCTCAATTTTGAAATGTTCAACATCTGTTGATAGTCTCACCAATTCTACAAATAGGAATCTATAAATACTTTGGACTTCTAAATTTATGAATACAGTAACAAATTCCACGTTTGTAATTCTCAATGGCCTTTGTGAGAGCTCTTTTCAGGGATGGTAACTAACTTTGCAGAAAGACAATACCCACTAAAATAGATGCAGAAAACAGTTGGACAAGTGTCCCCAGTCTTTTCCAGTCTGTTACACATAGCCAATCTCCATTTGCAGCCTCTTTCTGGAGCTACACACCTTGTTTGCACCACTATGGCTAGAGCCAGCCTCCTTCTTCCCTGCCAGTCATTAGCTAAGTGCGGTCAGGACACCCAGAATGTTCCACAACTAACATAATCTGAGCAGTAGAAAGCAGAAGAAACTCATTTAGATTTTTATAGCAAATTTGACTTTTCTTTTATAGGTAAGTTCAATGTCTTCTCCCTCACCTTACTCTGACAAAAAGAGGTCTTGCTCAAATAAGTATTTGTTGTTGAATTTCACCTTTTATTCACTGCACAGGTAAATCAATTTGCAATCATAGCCCAGTGATCTTAAAAGAAAGGTTTTGTTCTAAAAAGGTTGATATAGCAACTATAAAAGAAAACTTTAAACTAACTTAAAAATAAAATTCATAGTCTTAATACTTTTAAACTTAACAAAAGTCTATTTAGGAAACTATGTATATATGTTAAGAGAAAGAGAACATTCATATGAATTTTAATTTTCAAGCTTACTCTCTCATTAGTGAGCAGAACAAATGTTTGTCTAAGAAGAGATCGACTGCTATTCTATGTTTTGTGATGTTTGCTCAGAATCAAAATTTAAGATGTTAAAAATTTAGTAGTTTCTAGATGTTAGATTTTTATTGATTGATATCCAGTAGCAAAATAAAACAAAACATGAATTTTCTGTTATCAATGTCTTTGAAAGATGTCAAATGCATTGTTCATACATTTGCATACTGTTTGCCATTTGGATCATCTTGGAGACTACTCTTACAGGTGCAATAAGCTGATTTTTAAAAAATCCTTTAGTCAGATATAGATGATCTCTTTTGATATACTCCTAGAGTCCTTGATTTTTTATTCATATTAATTCTTATGACAAATCCCCAAAGGGTATAAAGATATAATAACACATTTTAAATGAATTATTTTAGACGCACAAGAAGACAAGATATAAGAAATGGAGACCCACTAACTCATTGTTCAGACTTACAACACCATGGTAAGTTACAGTTTTCATTTTTAATCTGCTATCTCCAGGATAAAGTCACAAGAAATAATGCATATCCACACACATGCAGGGGACATGCCTCTCCCAGAATGCTTATAGAAATGTAACTAAGGAGAAAGAAAATCAAAGAGAAAGGAAATTCTAAAGAACACAAAGAAATGAATTATGTCTTATTATTATTAGTATGATAAATTCAAGACTTTAAACCCTTATGAGACTTAAAGCTTAATTTTCTCATATTAACAAAAAAAGCCAGTTTACATGCTTTCATGTATAGTAGCAACCTGAGAGTAATAGGCAAATATATATATTTTATAAAATATATTTTATATAAAATATAAATACATTAAAATATATAAATATATAAATTATAAATATGTTTAAAATATACAACTTACATATTTTTATATTTTATAATTATACATAAAAATTCGTGTAAAATATAAATATATAAAATGTAATATTTTGTATATTTATTTAAAATATAAATATATACTTATTTACTTAAATATATCAAAGAAGAAAGTGTATTCTTAAAATGTCATGCAAAGTATTCATCAATATGCTGATGATATACACCCAATATATTGTTATTGTCTATCCTAGTCAAGTAGAAGATAATTCCAATATCTTCAAGCTAATTTACTAGTATGATATTTTCTTGAACTGGGAATTTTAGACTAAGTTCATTTTATGCCTGCTAAGGATGTCAAGGCCTATTTAATGTCAAAATGCTTACTTAATACTGAAATATCAACCAGTCTTCATTTAAAATGGAGTAAAACTGTAGCGTATCTTACTCCCCTACTTCAACCCTTTACAAAAATAATAATGAAGTTGTGCTTCCCTCTGCTGGAGAAACTGATCAATGACATCACTATTAATGAACAATTCATAGGTAAAAATACCTAAAATGTAAAATGTAAACATTTCACATGAAGTTGAACACAATTATCCTACTTACTTTTTTGGTGCCTTTTACATTAATCTTAAAGGAAGGTCTAATATTTTTATCAGTTAACTTGGATTCGATATATTAATTCTGAATGTAGAATATTCATGTTTCATGAATGTTACAAAAGAAAACACACTACACAAGTAACACTCAAGCATGTATTCCAAAACCTAGTTACTTTTCTGAAAGTCACATCCTCTCTTAGGCATCCTATATTTACTGGTATCTGATTCATGAACAATCACAGGATTGTTTGGAGGATGACAATATCAGAAAACAGGTAATTACAAAGTTAGCCTATGTTTTAGATCTACTATGCCTGGAAATTTTCTTGCCAAGAACTTTTCTATCTGTTATTATTATTATTATTATAAAGACAATAGATGCCACTATATTAGAGCAAATGTTATAAATTTTTGTCATTGTACAGATATAGTGCCTTATTGACCTACACTCTTTATATTTTTCAAATGATAATTCAATTGGATGGCAAAACATACACTATTCTTCATCTATTTCATATAAAAATGTTGAATTATGATAAGCACATTTAAGCTGTACAGTCTTATGAATTATTAATTCATTGTATTAAATTACTTATTTGCTGAGCTATGAAGAAGCCAATAATATTAACTGGAAATAAAAGAAATAAGATGATGTAAAAAGAGCTCATTTTTAATCAAACTTTAATGTCCATATTAGTATGGATCTTGTTATTTTGCTCTTTCTTATATCTCAAGAGCTATAACAGCTGCAATATCATGAATATCATGGTAATAAGTATCATATAAATATTTAATAAATATTTGTTAAATGAACGTTCTAAATATTTCAAGCTGTAGTATAGCAATTAATCATTTTGTTTTTTCAGTAGAAATCTGAATGAAATATCTATTCTGTTTTGTAAATATGATTTAAGTCATACATTGTTACTAATATCATATTTAGAAATAGGATGTCTTGAAATATCAATCAACTAATAAATAATTATTATACACCACTCTATGTAGGACACTATACTATATTTTGAAGATTCTTAGGGAATTTTATATATAAATATATGTTTATATTTTACTGATAATATAAACATGTTTATATTTTACTAATAGTTATAATTTTACTAATAATTTTTAATATAATACAATACAATATTTTACAATTTTAATGCAATACAGTTTTTAATGCAATATTTTACTGATACATCCATTTGTTTAGCAATCTAGTCCCTTATGAGACCCAGTTAGTAATTTTTTAATTACATATATGCTGGAATTATAAGTGTACATATACAAGGAAAAGCTGACCAAAGACCTATATGTTATCCTTAAGTGAGACTGTGAATAAATTATTGTTGTTGACTGTTGATTGACTAGGCATGAGAGAGCTTCAGATTGTAAAGTTGTGTTTTAATGAAAGTACATTGGCGAAAGCCTGTAAAAATTGGTAATACGGAATTCTTAGCTATACAAAGTAAAATGAACAAGAATCAAGTACTCCCCGATTCTTCTATCAGAGTGAATGCTGTAGAAAGGAAAAAGAATTGCTGTGATTCACTGTTACTTGGCGGGGGGGGGGGGGGGTTGGGGTGTGTGTGTGTGTGTGTGTGTAAACAGTTCTAAGTAGATGCTTGTGATACATGGGAGGAAATGGTAAAATACTCTAAGAAGCTCTGCAGCAGTAAAACATTCCTTTTTCTGAAGGCCTCTTTATTCCTTGTCTGCTTGTTTGATAATTGACCAAACATAAAAAACTACACATCAAAGTTGATAGTAAATTTTAAATGTTTGGAAACTAAGTCAGGCATACCCATATGGCCAGGCTGAAGCTTACCATTGGGAATCAGTGAATTATTTTGGAATAGGTGCTATCAATACTTGAAAGTAAAGTGGGCCAAAATCCAGAGCTCAACCCTATTTAGTCATGTATGTTGTCTTGCTAATGTCACATCTCACATGGAATAAAATAGTTGTGCTCATATGGAAACATATAAAGATATGAGATGTTTTCACAGAAAGCTGCTAAGCAACTTGAAGCCAAATTATACACTTCAGGACAATCAGTTCCAGCTGTAATGGTAAACATATTTTGTAACACTCCATATTTTACATAGCCTGAGGTTTTAATGGAGAGACTATATAAAATAATTCAGAATTAAGTGGAAGGAATTTTTCTCTCAATGAAACCTTTAAGCCTCACTCAGCGCTCTGTGCCCTCTGTGCAAAGGCAGCTCTCACAGTGAGCTGGCGTAGGTGAGGCAGACACACCCGGCCCCGCTTCCCGCTGCTGAGCGCTGTCCTCCGCCACTGGTGGCCATTCAGCTCGGGAAATTTTACTGTAAAACCGTAAATATATATGTGCTGCCAGGGATATTCTTGTCTTCCCACTCACACCGCATACAGAATGCAGGTTTTTGCAACATGCTTCTTTCCCTAAAATACCTGTCGTGTACAAAATTGGAGCTGGTCTGACTGCATTCAATGACATAGATGTCTAAGTCAATTCACCTTTAAAACTCCCTCCCATGTCCTCTTCCTTCCCAAACAAGAATGAGTCATACTATGATCTACGAATCCAGAAAAGAAAAAAAACTGTGCCATAAGTAATATTTTTTAAAAAATTGACATCTTCTTAGATTTTTGAATCTTTGAAATATTTTATATCAACTTCTAGTTGAATGCCATTGTTGAATTTCACTTTGTAATAGTTCTCTTGGCTGTTCTTCATACTTAGATCTACTTTCCAGCTTCCCACAGTAAAACATCCGCAGAATTCAATCTCCTTATCTATCTTGACAACTGGATCAATTTATGTCTTCTTGGTTGGCATCAAAATTTCATACAATATCTTTGACAGTGTCATTTTTATGGTCTGCAGAGTTGTAAATTTAGTATTTATAGCAATGCTAATCTGGTCTATGCTGTGGCCTCTTTTATACTTGTAGAAAAATCCAACGATGTATCTGAACATTTAGCCCCAAGAGAAGGTTCAAGATTTGATAGATGAGTATGATATCAGTCTAAAAAAAAAATCTCTAACTTTAATATATTACCAAATTATATCAAGGCTAAGATGTCACTGAATATAAGATACATCATTATGTTATGCACTGCTAAAAAACAAACAAACAAAAACATCTGCCCAAGATGGGAAATCTCATAGATACTCCCAGTATCAAACCAAGACACAATATGTTTCAGTATTAGCATGAAGGCAAAATTAATCCCCATACAGAAGATAACAAGGAAACGTGCTTGTTTCAACCATAATTATGGGTAGTGAAAAGGGAGGGGATACTCTTTGAACCACAAGGTGGTACTCATCAAGGTTTACTTTCTTTTTTAAAGATTTTATTTATTTATTTTTAGAGAGAGGGGAAGGGAGGGAGAAAGAGAAGGAGAGAAACATCACATTAATTGGTAGCCTCGTACCTGCAACCCTGGGACCTGGCCTGCAACCCAGGAATGCTCCCTGATTGAGTACCCAACACAGCAACCTTTTGGTGTGCAGGATGATGCCCAAATCCACTGAGCCACACCAGTCAGGGGTAGGTTTACCTTCTGAAATCACCAACAGGGTGGACCAAATATCTCAGACAAGACATTAATTTAAAGAGGTATTAGGTTAATAGGTTCTCATGCATGTTGCAGAAGAACAAATTTTTTTCCCAAAAAAAGCAACTTCAGGTTAAGAGCAAATGCAAGATGCATTCTGATATCAGAGATCTTAAAATATAAAGAAGTGTGCATGTAGAATGAACTTACTACAGTATTATCTTCTATAACTTTTATAAATGTTTTATGAACCTGTTTTCATTGGAGATAATCAATCACCACAACAATCATCTTCTGATAGTACCCTAGGATAATAATCCAATTATTTATAGTATATGTGTGCAAAGCATCCATGTACACCTGAATAACAATTTTGAAATATTTTATGTCATCCTTGTTCTTTATTAAAGTTTTTAAATATATCATCAGAGATCACCTAAATGTTTTTACACTTATAATCTAACCATTGTAAGTGGAAACATTTT